GCAGAAGCCTGATAACGATCCTGATCATTTGAATCAGGTGTGTTGGAAGAGAGAAACATCTAAAACATGCTGGATTGTGGCCCTTGAGGACCAGGATTGGAGACCCCTGACTCAGGATAACCATGACCTAAAATGACAGAGGTCTGTGGCGTCACCTCTCACCTGTTTACAGTTCAGTCCTAAGATCTCTCCCCAGGAAGATGAAACCACAACTAGCCACAAAACACCCTAATGAACCCCTCCTTAACGAACCCCACTGTGGCAGGGGGAGCACTAATGACTCACATAACGAGGGGGAGGAGCAACAAACCCCCAATTAAAATGACTCCTTAAGGATATCTGGAACTCCCAACTAGTCAGTCAGAGCTGATGAAGCCTCTTGGATGAAACGTCTTCAAGGAACTCAAGCTACGATTAATCCATGAGAATAACAACCATGACCTGGACGACTGAGGATCTTCACAGACATGATCTGAAACCACACAAATATGTGGATTCAGATGATTCAAACAGCTGACGATGAGATATCTCAATGGCTTATAGTAAGGTAAGACTTGATGATCACCTTAAGCACAAATTGATACGTGAGACCTTCCATTTACCTGATTATAGTTTGTGTTGGTTCACTGGACAGGTGGCATGTTGGCTGTGTAAAGAGAGAACATCGTTACGTGCCACCTCCACTCGGCGTGAGGAGCTGCAGGGAACGGAGGCCTTTCGTTTCGCTCGGTTCTGCTTAAACTCGAGAGTCGACTGTGAGAGCGGGTCCTTGTGCCGTGAGCGCTCGCGGCTCTTTCTGGCTCTCAGCTTAAAAAGAATTTCATGAGTTTCCTCCTCTGTTGAAATTGAGCCTCCTGGTGGGATTGTTGCTGCCCACAAACAACAACAGGTACTCCGTGTTATCATCAGCGGCGCTGCGAAGGGAGGCCGAGTGGGAGGCTCCTTCTCTGAGCAAAGACTTGGCTCGGTCTCAGTCTTCAGGTTGCATTAGCAGTGAGTAGGAGAGGCAGTCGTAACGCTTTTTGCTCATTGCCGCAATAAATCTGCAGTTTTTAGTGTTATTATATATGACAGCGCTGTGTGATTAAACATATCCATGCAGCGAGCAACGGAGATAAGCTCTCCTTTACTGCATGGCCCAGTAATGACAGTAATAATCCAGAACACCGTAACCTGTGATAAATGCTTTCCAAGGCTTAGCTAATGAATTTTCACTGAAGGCTGCTGGGGTCACTCGCGCACACATTCGCTTGGAGATGGTTCCCTCTTCCTGCCTTTTTTATTCAGATTACCATTCATTAGCAGCCGCAAGGCAAGCAAAGAAGAATGTATGTACTGGGTTTTGCCCATGAGGGAGGAAAGTGACTGAATAAAGCAGTGACAGATTATAACTAAGAACATATATCAGCAGACTGTACACTGATGAGCCACAACATTAAAACCACCTACCAGGATGGTGTGGGTACCAACAAACGTGGATCTCTGGAGGTGTCTTGTGGTGTCTGACACTGGGAAGCTGGAAGTGGACTCTCTAGGTTATTGGATGCCCAATTCTGTTTGGATCTGTTCACAGCCCGGGTCAGTGTCTTGGGTTCGTGCCGTGCTCCTGAGCAGTTGTTGCAGTGAGGCGTGGTGATTTGTTCTGCTTCTGGAGGCTGCTTGATCTGCAGCAGTGTTGGAGTGGGTGGTGCATGAAAGCCAAGACCCAAGGTTTGTCAGCAGAACGTTGCTTTGTAATGAGATGATCAATGCTGTTCACTCAGTGGTTTTAATGTTGTGGCTGATTGGTGTAAGTTTGAGTATATTTGAATCCATCCATCCATCATCTCTACACCTTAATCCTCACTAGGAGTCATGGGGGGCTGGAAGGTTGAGGGCAGGTTCACCTGGACAGGTAACCAGTCTATCACAGGGCTACACTTAGAGACAGACAACCAAGCACACTCACATTCACACCTACGGACAATTTACAATCACCAATTAACCTCAACATGTTTCTGGACTGTGGGAGGAAGCCGGAGAACCCGGAGAGAACCCACGCTGCACGGGGAGAACATGGAGACTCCACGCAGAAAGATCCTGGGTGCCCCCACCGGGATGCGAACCGGCGACCTTCTAGCAGCGAAGCAACGGTGCTGCATATTTGAATGACTTTCTCAATTTTTTCCCACTTTATTCTGTTGACTACTACTAATTTACATATTATTAGCTTATACTGGTCCCCTACTCTTTTGTCTTGTGGCCTCATGTGTCTACATTTATGTAAAAGATTATCCAGTTGATGTTTTTTGGACATACTGGACACAAATAAAACAATGAAAAGAAAATTAGCGTCATTTATTTTAGAAAACTGTGGAAAAAAATAAGCATCAGAAACTTGTCCTCTTGAGCAGAACTAACTTTTTAAGGGGGATAAGTTGCCTCCCAGTCTCTGGCATCAACTTGCTGACTTTTTTTTGCTGTCTCTGCCAAATTTCCTCCCTCGCTAGATGTCTGAGGGTTTTCTTCCATGTAGCCGACTGCCTGTTTTAAATCTTCCAAATCCGAGCAGCCGCCCCACAACCCTCCCCTGAACCCATTAGTGGATCTGATTTGTGTTTAGAGTCATTATCCTGTTAAATGGTCCACTTTCGGTTCAGCTTTCACAGAGATGGTCTCACATTATCTTCAAGCGCTCTTTGATATGATGCAGAGTTCACAGTTGAATCAACGACCGCGAGCCGCCCGGTCCCCCGAGGCGGCAAAACAACCCCGAACCATAACAATTCCACCGCCGTGCTCCACGGTCTGAGGTCCTTCTGCTGAAAAGCTGTGTTTGGTCTGCACCAAACGTACCATCTGCAGCTGAGGTCAAACAGCTTGATGCTAGATTCATCTGTCCAGAGCACATTATTGCAAACGGCCGGCTCTCTGCCTGGATGTTTGCTGGCAAACTGTAGTTTTGCTCAAATGTCCTCTTCAAACATTAAAGTCTCACATATGGGTCGAATTTTTCTTTCTGGTAGATGATCTTGATTTGACACCAACAAGAGTTACCTGCAGATCCTTAAGTGACATTTTGAGGTTCTTGGAGACTTTTTTAATCTTATTATTTTTGCATTAAATAGTCTGCTCTTGAACTTGCTGCAACTCTTACTCTTCCACATGACTGTTTGTGAGGCCCTCTGTCACGTTAGAGATGTCTGAGCTGCTGGTGGGTCCCCCAAAGACTCGTTTAGCCTCCAAACCTTTTAGACAGTTTCATTAAAATCAATGTTTGCAGCCTAAAGTGAAAAAAAATCCAATATTTCACCAAAAAATAAACGTTTTCTTATCCCTGGTTGTGCATAATAGTTCAGTAGATCCACCTGAACCACACCAGTAATTCAAGGGACCTGTTCCCACCAGATAATTAAATGCATCACTGCAAGATACACATTTTAATGTAATCATTTAGATCAACCTGTTAAGTTTTAAACATCACTATGATGGTTGGGTTGACATAGTAATGGCGGTCATTGCATCAACTTAACATTGTTTCTTGTCTGTTAGTTTTCACACTCAGTTTATGACACTTTTTAATAGAAAAACTATATTAAATTTTATTATGTGTGCAATGAACGGTCTGTAGAAAATTTTCTTGCTTAAAACCGGTCCGTGGTGCAAAAAAGGTTGGGGACTGCTGATTTACACCATACTTTCTGCGTTATTTGATTGAAAAATTAAATTCAACTTGAAGTAACTTAATGAATTTCACTTGACAGCTATATTTCTTTAACACCTTGAGGTCAGAATGTGAAGTACCGTTTCCTACCTAGTTAAAAGCGAAGCAACTTGATTTTTTTTTTTTTAAAAGTGACAACTAAAAAACTTGTGTTCATGATGATGTTAATTAAGTAAATAACACTTAAAAACTTCTTTTAATTCACGTGGAAATACTAGTTGGACCAACTTAACTTTTCATGTGTAATGAACTTAAAAACTTGAGTTTCTTCACCAATTCAAAAGAAAGAGGAAATTCTTTGAACTCTATTTGGTTTGTTGGTTGAACATAATTTCAGAAAGACTCGTACAGAAACCAAACATTGCTCTTTAGAGAGAAGCTGCTTCAGTAAAATCCTACAAACTAGGAACAATGTCCACTCCAATGTCTGCTTTACTTGATTAAAACTTAAATTCAAGTTGACGCAATTGATTAAATTGGCCGGATAACTACATTTTTAAATCAGCTTGAGGTCAAAATTCCCATCCTAGCTAACTGCACACTGACTTAAATCTTACAGCATAAAAACATGTGTTCAGAATTATGTTAATTAAGCACAGAACACCAATAAATGACTAAATAATGTGGAAATGCTCGTTGGGACAGCTTATTTTTTCAGAATAATGTGCTTTAAACTTTCTACCAATTTGAAAAACCTTTGATATATTATTTCTTGTAACTCTTATTTGGTCTGTTTGTTGAACATAAAGTCAGTAGAAGTTGTCTGAACTTAAAAAGACTCAAACTACAGAGGCCAAACATTATTCTTTAAAGAGCAGCAGCTGCAGTAGAATCCTACAATTTAGCATCAATGCGTAAATATGACCAATATAATAATGTCTTACTAGGATTTTTTGGTATTTATTATCTTGAGAAATAATGTATTCTGCTGATAGATGTTGTTGTTGATAGACTTGTATTTGATGGAGTATTTTTCCACTGAGGAACTAGTTTCACCAACAAGGTTCTGGTGAAAAGTGGATCCAAACCTGAGTGCTGGACGTGATGCGAGCCGGGCTTTGGATCCTCGGCTCTGTCATCGCCTCCATGTGTTGGGAAGTGGGAGGGAGCAGCAACACAATCACTGGCATTTTCCAGGCGAAGTTGTGCGCGATGGGAGGGAGCGCTCAGTGCTGCGACTGGACGGCGCAGCGGCTCGTCTCGTGCCGGCCGTGACGAGGCGCAGCCGGTGACAGCGGCGTCGGAGCGATAATGAACGCCTTGAGTAAGTGCTGCGATGGATGAGGAAGGTTTTGTGTCAGAGCTGGGCGGAATAACAGTGTGCTGTTGTGTCTCACGGCTCCGCGATGGTGGCACCTCTGCGCGCTTTGCCTCCTGCTATCCGGACCAGGGACACCAGCGGCACAGAAGTGACACACCGGCGTCGAATTCTGCACAATTATCAGCGTGAGACGAGCCGAGCGACGGAGTAGAAGGCTGCTGTCATGGAGAAGCAGAGCAGAGGCAAGGAGGAAATGCCGACGTCGAAGGAGGAGAAGCGCAAGGAGAAGAAGCCGAAATCTGGGAAGCTGTTCCGAAAGAAATCGCTGAAGTCCGTGGGGAGCTTTATGAACAGAATCATCAAAACTTTGGGCACTTTCACCCACTTTGGAGACGCTGACGCGCAGGACGCGGAGGACGACGACGGGGGGTTTCGAAATGGCGCACCTTGCACCCTCAGCGCCGGCTCAGGAATAATCAAAGAGGATGTACAAATGGCTTGGGATCGGGTGGTGAAGAACCCCTCCAGCACGTCTTCGTCTCTGTGCACCGGCAGAGAGAAGCTACTTTACCAATACGGAGACAAGATCCCGGGCGTTCTGGGGCTGAAGAACCACGGCAACACCTGCTTCATGAACGCGGTGGTCCAGTGCCTGAGCAACACCGACCTGCTGGCCGAGTACCTGGGCTTGGAGAGGTACAAGATGGACCTGAGTCAGACCAGAATAAACGGGGTGGTGAAGGCTGAGGAGAGCAGGCTGGCCAAGGGAGAAGTCACCGAGCAGTTGGCGTCACTTGTCAGGGCTCTGTGGACTCTGGAGTACACCCCGCAGCTGTCCGTGGACTTCAAGGTACCCAAAAAACAAACCAGCACAGTCCGCAGGTGCATTCAGAGAGGAGGCACAGTGATGAGAGGGCAGTTTCTGAACACCTACTATTGCTTTATCAGCTGCTTAGAGTCTTCTGTGTAGTCAGACATAATCACATGTTATTCCCACAGCGAGCCTTAAACACCACCGTGAGGAGTCACCTGAACCTTAGATGAAGCAGCACAAGTCTTACAGCGTTTTCCATAATTGCCACCAGCATAGCACCCATTTGCCTCCGACCAGCGATAACAAGTGTGCAGAGCTTTGCCCTGTGGCTCCGGCGTCTCCCTGCCAGGTGATAATGAGGCCGCCGCTCGGTGTCACAGCAAGTGTGAGGGCACGAGGTCAGCAGGTCTCTGACTCACATGCTGCGCCGGGCTTCTTTCCAGCCTCCAGTTCTGCTACAGGGCAGCATATTGTTCAGAGGCCACAACGTGAAGTCAGTTGATACAGAAGGAAAGAGACTAATCTGTATGATTCCTCCCAATTTAAGGCCTCTTGGATGCACTTTTTTGTTGTTTGTTTGTTGGCGTGCAGGTTCCACGGCAACAAGAGCAGAGAAACAAGAACGATCTGGTTGCAAAAACAAAATTAAATGTCAGTGGTACTAAAATATTTCAGCTACAGAAAGGATGATGTCACCCTATCTGAATCAGATCTGAATGCCATCCAGTGCATAAAACTATTTCGGGTGCTAGTGATGCACCACACAAGAGCCTCTCCAAATGGCTGAAAGTATTTTTTATTTTCGATGCAGATGCACTCGCTCACAGAACCGCCCCGATCATTCTGGGATCATTAAGTCTTTCCAAATAGTTATTTTAAGTCATCTGGTAAAAATCTGCCTTTTTTATGTCGCAAAACAAAATCTCCCAATCTTTTCCAATCTTGTGCAGTCCTCTGCTAGCATCATTTTTTATAAACAGTAGATGTTGGAGCTGCACACAGATGACTTAAACGACGACTCGGAAAGAATGAATCACTGCAGGATGATTGGGGTGACCTTGCAGGAGAGTGCATCTGCATAGAAAGATAAAACCGCTTTAGTTTAGTCGTGGTTTTATGCTTATTCAGAGCTTTACGGTGCCGATTTAAACGGTCGGCGTGCATGCCAGCAAGCTGTGTGTCCTGTAAATAAGATCAAAGAAACCCTACAATTGGAGTAAGTGATGTTCTATCAGACGGACTTCTTTTGTAGATCAGCTTTCGCAAAAGAAATAAAAAAGTCGTTGCATGATATGACAAAGGAATACATTGTGCACCATACTAGATGTGTGATACTTACAATGAATCGCACTTTTGTTGTCTCAGCGCTCAGAACAGGTGGCCGCCTTTACAGTATTTATATTTGTGATGCAAAGTTTGCTCGAGATGATTTACTTCCCTGCTTAAGACTCTTTCTTCCCCCTCCGAGGATCAGGGGCTGTGACGGAGACACTATCAGGAGACCCTCCGGCTTCTCCTACTCTGAAGATAGACGAGGCGAGGGTGGGGGTACAACCGTACTTTATCTGCCTGCAGCTTTTTTTTTACTCCGGCTTTGTCTGAGCCGCAGTTCAGGGCAAGAAGTAGATAATAGGGAGCAGCAAACAGAAGACACTGGATCTATTCTAGGAAAGTGTTTTGACCCCTGCTTGGACTGATCAGGATTTCTGTCACAGCTTTACCCGGAGCTCCATCACAAAACATCGACAGTCATCGATACAGAGAATCAATTTTAGCGTCATTTTTCTTCCATTTCTCTCTCTTTCTCCCTTTCGCCGTCCCATCTGTTGTGCTCTCTGAAAAAACTCCCCTGTCAACCAGAATCCACGCTGCCAATAAATCTCCAGCTCCACACTTTCATTTCCCTCCCGTTATCTCGTGGGACGCCGGTATCACATTTTCAGCACAACAATCAGAGGGAACAGCATGGAAACATCTTGCCAAGATTAGAAGATAGATTAGAAGAAAAACACACTAAACAAGCTTCTTCGTATGTGCCGAGACGCTTCCCGTGTTAAAGTGCACACGCAGGCGCTGCTGTGCTTCTTGGCTGCGGGGTTTTTTTTTTTTGTCGACCACAGGAGGTCCAGAGTTCGTGCGGCTATCCCTCTGAAATTGCCTGTTGAGTAATACCACAGCTGCCTGCAGGGAGGCATTATGAAATGATCAGATTGCTCTGAGGCCTGTGTCTGAGAGGCTAAATTAGCTCCCAGCGGTGGGAACTCCAGACAGCACAAAGCACTTATAAACAATTCTGCAAAAAGGTTTTGGTCTTTGTTTAAACGGCTTTATTAATCTGCTGGTTTTGTAACTTCATTATCAGTCTTCGCAGGCCTCTGAAAGTCATGCGTCTTATCACAAGGGCATTAGAGAGGTTCAGCTAAAGCAGCCAGATTAAAAGCACTACCTGTAGCAGCCGCCTTCACGTCACATGAATTTTGATAAGAAGTGATAAAAGGGGCAGCTGCTGAAAGGGATCTTTTTTTTTTTGACAATCACCCCTTCGGCAGGACGAACTCTGCTGCAAACGCAGAATCGTCCTCGTTTGATCGCGAGTTCTTCAAAGTTAATGAATCAGCAGCGAGCGGCCTCGTCTCAGGTCAGCTGGCTGCAGCGTCCCGCTCTGGGAACAAAACCGAACAACAAAGTCGGGTTGAATGCCTGGCCCGCCGCCACATTCCTGTACACCTGCCCCCGTAGGACAATACAGGTGGTGGGAGGGAGGCAGCTTCTGTTAATGTTCACTGAAGATTAAGTAACACAGCCAGCTGCCAGAGTGTCCCGAGCCTCCACTCCCACTCATGTGTCTCTGACACTACAGCTGAAGCGTTGAGTTTCTCCAACCTGGGAGCAGATGTGTTCTTTTGATCTGGACAGTGCGTTTTCAGAACCCTCCCTCCCCCCCACCGGCAGGCCGGTGTGTTTGCTCAGAGAGGCCTGGACAGGGACGAAGCCTGAAACTCAAACAGTTACTCAACAGCCAACTTATTTGTGTCCATAACATGAGAGGCCTGAGAAAGTCGGGAGTTTAGGGTGAGCCGGCCTGATGGCTGGACAGGAATGTCATCCTCCCCCTGCAGGATGCACCGATAGGCCCACGTAGGAGGAAGCTGTAACGACTGTGGGTTTTACTCACAGGTACGTGTCAGCGTTTGTCGTCTCCACGCTGATGTTTAACAGTAACGGTGGATCGTAGTAGCAGTGATTTCCAACCTGGGATGCTTTAGTTACACAGTCATCAGAGGATACGTGTAGATCAGCTGATATGAGGATGCAAACTTTTGATTTAGGGGGCGAGGATTATCTGTTGAATTTCCACCAGATGATTTGAGTCGCTCTGGAATGATCTCGTAGGGGAGTGCGTCTGCTTAGAAAATGAACAATAATAATTACCAAGAAGCCTTTTGGAGCCGTTCTCACATGTCGTAATGTTGGCAAAAGCATCCAAAACATTTCTTGTTGTGGTTGGTCTTCAGATCAGGCTTTGAACTGGTCATAAAGAGCTTTGTGTGGCTGGTTTAAATGGCTCCATGTATCGACAACAGTTGACAACAACTTGCTTGTTTACGGTCAATGCCATCCTTTCTGAAGCTGTAATATGTCAAAAGAAACTGGAAATCTTCCTTTTCAGCATGTCTTTCCTCACTTATTTTGTTGTACACACATGGAGTCTGCAAGTCAACAAACTTGGCATCTGAGCTAAACACCCATTTATATCTAAGAACCCTGAAATTGGACGAAACGTTTTATCGATTGTGACGTGAAAACAGTGCAAGTTTTCTCACAGTTGAAGCTTAATGTGCTGGAGTTCGTTTGCCTAACAGCTGTAGCGTCGATGCCAATATGTTGGACAAGTTTTGTTCTTTTAAATAATCCCTTCCTGCTCTGAAAAGTCGCAGATGTAACTTTGCACCGTTGCCTCCTCTAGAATGCGCAGATCTATGAAATCCCCGCCTGACCCTCCTGACTCACCTACAGTTCAGCTCAAACACTGTAAAACTGCTCTTTGCTACACAAGCTGTAATATCGGAGGGACTCAGCCACACATGTTGGAACTGACGATACAGAAAGTCTTCCATCTGCAAGTTTAAAGTTCTTTTTTTTTTTGACTTTTTATGTCTGAAGCCAGCACAAGTCTGAATTTGTTTTTCCAAGATGGAAATGATCAGCCATTGTGCTGATGGCGCTGCAAGGTGGCTCAGTGGTTAGCATCGTTGCCTCACAGCTAGAAGGTCGCCGGTTCGCGTCCTGGCGTGGAGTCTCTATGTTCTCCCCGTGCAGCGTGGGTTCTCTCCGGGTTCTCTGGCTTCCTCTAAAAACATGCTGAGGTTAATTGGTGATTGTAAATTGTCCGTAGGTGTGAATGTGAGTGTGCTTGGTTGTCTGTCTCTAAGTGTAG